GTATAGTTAGTTCGCTTATAAAGTACGTTAAAGAATATATATATAAATTTTTATAGAAAAATATTAAGGTTTCGCTTAGTTATTTAAGAAAAACAAGTTAATTTTTATTAATTTTCGTTAATTTTCGTTGCTAAGAGAAAGTAGTTAGCTTAATAATATAGTTAGTTCGATAATAAAGTACGTTATTCTTATTAATTTTTCTTTCTAAGAGATAGTAGCTAGCTTACTTATATAGCTAGCTTGCTTATAAAGTACGTTATAGAAAACTATTAAGATTTCGCTTAGTTATTTAAGAAAAACTTATTAATTTTTATTAATTTTCTTGCTAAGAAATTCGTAGGCTATTTGCTTATATAGGCTATTTACTTGTAAAGTACGTTATAGTAGCTTTTGCTAATAAAGATAATAGAAGGCTACTTCGACTAACGCTAATTATAACGGTTCAGCTTAGTATTACCAGAGTTACATGACCTCGCCTAGCGCCTTGGCGCTCGGCCCCTTTGTATATAGAGCCTCTCGGAGCCCTCCTTCCGCTCCTCACCTTTGGATAGCTGAATTTGACCCAACCTACCCTGCTCGTCGCCCTTATCCTTACAGCTCGTGGAGACCGTACTGCTTGCAGTCGACTTACCCAGCTAGGTGTTCTAGGGCTCGACGCACAGCAGTGGAGACCGGGAGCCAGCCCTCACACTAATAACTCCGGCTGCCTCGCCCGCCTTACCGTCTTTTCCACCAGACAACGCGGTAGGCTAGGCGAGCTACGTACGTACGTACATACGCACAAGCAGCTTAAGTATAAGAAATATTCCAGCGAAAACAAGAGCTAACTGCATCTAGCTAGCATCTTCTAGCGCGTAAACAATATCAATTATCCACCTTCGCGCGGCGCGAGATAGTCTATGGAAGGCATCCATCCACCCATGAGTTCTATATATCATGTTCGTTCGCCCTTAAAGGAAAACATCAAACCCAAAAAAAGATGCAAGCACACCGCAAAACAAAAAAGACGCTACGCTACGCTATACCACCCTCCACCCGTCCCTCCCCTCCCCTCCCCTCCCCTCCCCTTCCTTCCCATTCTATCCCTCCTCCTCCTCCACCTCCTCCTCCTCCTCCTCCTCCTCCTCTGGAATCGGAATCCCCAACGCCCTTAGCTCGCGGTCCGAAACAGGGCCGCGTCGCCGCTTTTTCGCTGGCGTTGGCGTTGGCGTGGGTGGGGGTGGGAGTGCAGCGGCGGGTGCAGGCTGCTCTGCTTCGTGGACTTCGTTGTTGTTGGCTGGGGCGTTGTTGACTGGGGCGTTGAGTGCTTCGTTTAGTGGGAGATGTGCGAGTGCCAGATGGAGCGGTTCGTTTGCGGGTTCTGCGGGGTCGACGACGTTGGGGGGCCGGTCTTGTTCATGGGGTCGGGCAGGAGCTTCGTGGGCTTCGTGGTGTTGGTGTTCGTCTGCCTCGCCCTCTTCCTCTTCTTCCCCTTCTTCCCCCTCCCCATCACCATCACCATCACCATCACCACCTAGATCCCAACCTCCATACCACCACACAGCAGCGGCGACCATCAGCCCCAGCACAATCGCCAACCCCACCAGCACGCAGAACCACCACGCAGCTCCCCTCCCTCCACCTTCTCCACTACCCCCACCACCCACCCCCCGCGCAACACTCTCCTCAAAGCCCGCCCGCTCCCGCTGGCCCTCGATCCAGCCCTCATACTCATCCCCCCAACGCCGCTCTTCCTCTCCATCATCCTCCCCCTCGCGTGACATCCCACCTCCACCCCCATCATGCCCATCATGCCCAACCTCCCCACCACCACCATCCTCATACCCATCGTGCAAGTCGTCCTCCCCGCTCGACAGATAGTACCCATTCCCCGCACCGAAAGGGCCAGAGTCCTCGGCGACGAGGGGGAGGGGCCACGACGATGGCAGCGGCGGCGGCGGTGGTGATGGGGGATTGGGATTGGGATTGGGATCGTTGGGATTGTCGTTAGGGTCCGGGTTCACATTCATGGGGGTAGAACGAGGGCGGTTGGGACAGTTGGGAGTGTCGTCATTGGGATCGTTGGGGTCCGGGGTCATGGGGATGGGGATGCGGGTGGGAGGGTCGGATGATTGTTGTTGTCGTCGTGGTGCTGGTAGAGAGGGGTTGGTATCGTCGTTCATCGCAGCGTGGTGGTGCATGGTGTGTCGTGGCGTGGCGTGGCGTGTATCTCCCGTTGATGTTGGGTTGTGCGGCGTCGTGTCGTGGTGTGCAGTCCCAGAGGCGCGTTGTCCAACGAGACGAAAGGGGGTTGCGTAGGGTTGCGCAGCTTAGTCGTGTCAAGCAAGGAAGAATATGGCGGAGTGAACAAAGTAAGTGAACAAAGTAGCAGGCAGGCTACGCGGGCAGGTTACGCGGGCGGGCTACGCGGGCAGGCGGACTGCGACTGCGACTGCGGCACATTCACGTTCCTCTTTCACTGCTGTGGACTAGCCGAATGTAGGTAGGCATAACAACCCGAGTTGGTACAGCTGTACCGGCTTTGACTTCCTACTGATCCGATTAGATTCCAGGCAGTGAACGAGCAAGCTCAGGGGGGTATCAACTGTATCCTACCATTACAAGTGCAAAGAATACTCCCTAATGCCACGACGCTGCGAAACGAAACTAGAAAGGCGGATACACCCCATCCCTCAAAGGAAGATCAATCCTCCCTCTCTGGAAATGCACCCGGCATCTCAAAGTCCTCGCCCCGGCTCACCCGATCTAAGCCGCCTATCACGCCCACAACCAACGCTCGACCCAGCGCACCCCCACCTGCCTCCCCTCCTTCCGCTGACTCCGTCTCTGGCCCTGGGAGGGCCCGCGGCATCACATCCATGGCCTGCTGAATGCCCCTGTTGCGCAACGCAACGGTACGCCGCTGATCGTCGGCCACATCCTCCAGGACACGGTTCTGCCTGTAGAGCGTGAGGGCTGAGGACTAATGGGCAGCGGCTGAGGCGCCGGCGGTAACAAGGCCCGTCACAACGCGATAGCGGGCGGCGACGCTCTCACGGCTGGAGGAAGAGCTGTCAGATGGTGCAGGTGACGGTTCACGGGGTTGCGCTCGGCGATGCTGAAGGAGCTGTGCCTCTTGGGCATGCTGCCTCGCAAGGTGGCCCTGCAACTGCGCCACCAAAGCCTTCATCTGCCGCAGCTCCTTCTCCTTCTGCATCTTGTCCTGCTCGGCCTTCCGGAGCCGCCTCCAAAGGTCCGCCATATCCGCAGCTGAGCTCGTGTTGTCCTTCTCGCGCCTCAGATCCTCGATAACCTCTTGACTGGAATCCGGCTGGGCCTGGAGATCGACAACGCAGTCATCGAACATGCGCTGCTGCTGGGCTTCGCCAGTCGCGGAGGAAGTACGAACGTGCGCAACGAGGGTCTGTGCCTGTTGGAGGCGGGATAGAGCCTCGTCGCGGTCGCGTTTGGCGTCTTCGAGGGCGCGTTCCAGCTGGCTGTCGGAGGACGACTCATCGTCGAGACGAGGCTGCAGGGCCCTCACTTGGTTGTTGGCTGTTGTGACCTCTGACTGCAGGTCAGCCACGACCTCAGCCAAAGCATTGTCCTGGCCAGATCGTTCGCTCTGGATCTCCTGCTCCTCCTGGGGGCGCACCTCTTCCCGCTGATGGTATCCTTCCTGAACGTGCTCCTCTTCCCGCCGACGTTGCTCCTGGAGGAGCTCCTCCTGCTGACGGTGCTCTTCCTGGAGGTGCTCGTCCTCCTCCTGACGCTGTTTTCCCTTGCGGCGCAATCCCTCCTGTCGACGACGTTCCTCCCGATGGCGCTCCTCTCCCTGCCCATGGTGTTCCTCCCAAATGCGCTCGTCTTCACGTCGACGATGCTCCTCGGCTCTTGGTGTGTCGACTTGCCGAGCAGGGCGACCTTGAATCCCTCCGGGCGGGGCCATCTCATGCGCAACGACCTCCCGTGTAAGCCGATCAATCTCCGCTTGAAGCTCGGCGATCCGTTCGTTGTGCAACTGTCCGTCGTGATGGTCCTCGGCGCGAAGCACCTGCTGGGTGTGTGCAAGAAGCCTTCGGTGGTGGGCTTGCTGGACGGCTAGCTCTTGCTGGGAGCGTTGAACAGAGTCGGTGAAGGTGCGGTGAAGCTCATCCAGGCGGTCCGCCAGCGTATTACCCAGCGTCTGGACTACGTGGGCGGTTGGATCCTCGCGCTGCAGTCCACGGTGTTCCAGGGCGGCCAGAACATTGGCAACGATGCGGGCCTCGCTCTCCTCCATGGCGGCAGTGGTCCTGCGCGACACGGCAGCAACGGTATGTCCAACAGCGGCGGCGAGCCCCTCGCGGAGGCGGGCGTCGGTCTCAGCGGTTATCATGTTGTAGAGCGGCATGGCGGCAGCAAAGCCGTCCATCGGGGTGGCGGGTCGCTGGTGGATGACCATAGCTGCTTCCGGCGCAGCTTGGCGTTGCGGCGGCGGGATCGGGGCTTGTAGGATCGGAGGTTAGGACGAAATATATCACGGACGGGCCAGAACGTTGCTGAGGTGGTGAAAGCCAGATGTCGTTCTGCGGCTCGCCCATCTTGGCGTCGCGCGAGTGGTCCGTGCCCGACAGCTCAGACTCAGGTAGCCCCGCCCCAACAACACAAGCGACGGCGGAGACGAAAGATCACGTATCTCTTCGGGCGGCTCCTCGACTCCACCAGCGTCGATAGCTCCACCGCCCGCAGCAGCAGCGCCCACGATGTCTGCTACTCGCGCGCCATCCGCTACATGCTCGAGCTGGACAGCGCGGCCGCCGAGACGACGCTGGTCAGCATCGCCATGCACGTCTTCTTCTACATCGCGTCGCAGCCACAGCCGCGCCCGCGCACCTGGGTCGCCAACGCATCCCGCAAGCTGCCCAACATGCTGCTCCGCGACGCCGCCAGGCTGTTCCCGCGGTGCCGCCACGCACTCGGTCCCGCCGTCACGGTGGACACGTTCAAGGAGCGCCTGAAGGGCTGGCGGCGGATTGGTGGCGGGTACTGCTTCATCGCCAGGCAGCTGGGGCTGGGGTCGTTGGTGCACGTCATGGTATGCAGATATCCCGAATCTACGCCAACGAGCAAGACGGCTGACTGATACCTCCGCAGGACCACATCCCCCCCCCCCCCCCGCGCATGGGGGGCTGCACAAAGGGCCACGAGCGCTTCACGCCCGGCATCGACGCCGCCGCCGACCGCAGCGCCCACGGCAGTCCCTCGTCGCGCGCCTTCGCCCACCTGCACTCCCTCCACCTCCCACGCTTTGCACGCGAGTCTGGCGCCGACGACAAGATGCACGATTTGCTGTGGGCTGTGGGCTGTGTTCGGGCTGCTGCCGGGCTTTGGTGCTCGCAGCGACGGAGAACGGTTCCCCGGGTTCGAGCGTGTCGAGTAGAGGATACGAGGAGGATGGGGTATCACAACACATGGGCATACCGCTGGTTCTGGATACTATGTCATTGGGGTTGCTGGATCAGGACAATACGAGGATGGGTGGCTAGATCAGAGTAACCCACCGTCATGCAGTGGGCCATGTGCTTCCTCCCAGTAGCCTATCTAGCTAGCCAGCCATCTCAACCAAGCCAATCCATCCTCCATCCTCCATCCTCCATCCATCCACACACGCAACCTCATCTCCCAAACCACCCACCCCCCTTCCCCTGCCCATCCGCCCTATCCAAATCCCTCCCCACACCCCCACCCATCCACCCCTCCACAGCCTCCCTATCAAACTCGCCCACATACTCCCTGAAGCTAGCAACCCGCTCAACCTCAGCCTTATCCCTAGCCAACGCCGCCTGCTTATCAAGCAGCGACGGCAGCCACGCCGGCACACTCGCCAACTCACTCCCCCCACCAGCCAGCATGTCCTCCGACGCAGAACCAGAACCCGCAGCAGCACCAAGCACCGCGTTCTTATCCAGAATACTAACCACCCTGCGCACGCGGCCGGTCTCGGATCCGGCCTGCTTGTCCTTCTCCGCCGCGACGGCGAGAACGCGCTCCACGCGTGCGTAGACCTGCAGCATGTCACGCCAGGCTTTGAGCGGGGGCTGTGTGAGCTGGTTCAGCGCTTTGAGCGCGGCGAGGAGGGTGTAGGATTGCGTGGCGGTGAGGTGGAGCGCGGTGAGGGCGGTGTGGAGGAGTGGGGGGAAGAGGCGTGGTCCAGCAGGGGGGTTGGTGGGTTGGGGTGGGGGGCGGATGGGTGAGGATTGGACTGCGGGTGGGATTTGGACTGGAACCTGTGGGGTGTTAGAGAGTAGGCTGAGGAGTGGGAGGGGGAGGGGGAAGGACGTACCAAGGGGGAGGCGTGGTCTTGGGCGGGTTTCTGAGCCTGGGGAGGTTGCGGATATTGCTGCTGGCGTAGAGTCTCGAGCTGCTTTTCGTTCTGCACCGCATCCATCTTCGTCAGCGAGCAAGCATCCAACCACCGCGCATACTAACCTGCTCCACCTGCACAGCCAGCTCATCACACCGCCTCGCCCGCGCCCTCTCCTCCTTAACCTCCGTCTCCAACCGCCTCACCTTCCTCTCCAACCCCTTCCTCTCCTCCGCCGCGCGCCTCGCCTCCGTCCTCAGCGCCTCCCCCTCCTGCGAAAGCCGAGTATTCAGCTCGCTTATCTCCGTGCGCTCCTCCACCACCCGCCCGACAAACTCCTCCACCATCGTCACCAGGCCGTTCTTCTCCTCGTCCTCGCCCTCGCCCTTGCCCTCGTCGCGCCGAGATGCTGGCATCTGCAGCACCAGCTTCTCCTTCGGCACCAGGCCGCGCAGCAAGCCCTCGCGGTTCTCCGCATCGCACTTGAATGCGTTGAAGCGCTGCCGGAGACACGCGAGCTGGCGCTGCAGGTCGAGCTTCGCGGAGCGCAGGTCCTGCGCCTCGAGGAAGCGGTCGTGCGCGTAGGTGGTGAGGGTTTGGTTGCGCGCGCACAGCGTCTCGGTCAGGGCGATGTATTCGCGGATGATGTCGTCGCGCGCGAGGCTAGCATGGGGGATGTTCGTTAGCGATGTGTTTGCTTGGGCGTCGGGTGACGGGAAGGAAAGGCAAGGCAAGGCAGGCTTGGGGCTTGAGCTTGCAGGGAGAAGAAGGATGAATGGGGGGATGGGGGAGGAAGACGGACCCGTTGATCGGCGGATCGGGCGCGAGCCAGGCGCGGAACGCGTTGAGGCGCGTGGCGTCTTGTGGGTCGAGGTCTAGGATTGCGGGCGTTGGTGAGGGCGGCGCAGACGAGGCCGAGCCGGGTGCTTCAGAGTCCAATGCCATGATTGAGGCGGGCGTGCGGTGTGTTGCTGAGAGAGTCTTATCCGCCCTGGCAAAGGTATGGCGGTGGGTTATGCTCGCGACGAGAGGAGAGAAGAGAGGAGAAGAGGGAGATGCGTGTCTCGTGGGCACCGTGAGTGTCGTGTTTACTGTGTCACAGCTCCGTTCACCGCTGGTGTTGTGTAACGCTGCGCGATGGGGTGCAGCGAGCTACGGCGGCGCCGGAGAATCATGACGGAGGGCGAAGGTGCATCTGGAAGCTTCGAATACGAAGGAACAGGGATCTGGGCGGAGGAGGAGCCTTCGTGAGGAGCATGCTGTGAGGTTGAAGTCATGGAGTTCGTCCATAGCTAGCGCGCGCATTTGGGCTTGGCGCAGATCAGACGAGCTGCGTCATTGGAGGCTGCACCATGAGAAAGGAAAGATAGCGCATCATTGCAGGCGTTATATCGAGCATGAGGATGAACGTCTCGCCGGTATTGCTCGGCGAAAATTGTTTTATTGTGTGTAGACGCAGGTCATGGAATTCCTCCATGGGTGACGCGTGCAGATGGAGATCAGAGATCGGATAGTCAGAAGAGGCGCCGTTCGAGATAGAAGGATGAGAATAAAATGACTGCGCATCCTTCCAGACTGCCTACCTCACGTAGGATTCGAAGTCCTAGGAATCCTGCGCCTGCGGAAAGCGTGGTGGTGGGTATAGACTCAAGGTCATGGAATTCGTCCATGGGCGGCGCTGCACGCATGGATGGGTTTGGCGCGGATCGGCCGAGCCTGCGCTGATGGGCGAGAATAAACTAACTGCGCATCCTTCCCAACTTCTTCATTATTTCGTGTCAGAATGGAGCCCTCGGAGGTCGCGTGCAAGTGGAAAGTGTGGTGGCCGTGAACACTCAAGGTCATGGATTTCATCCATGAGGGGCGTGCATGGATTGTCGGTTTGGCGAAGACCACCAGAGGCCGCGCCTCCAGGTGTCGAACGACGATAATTCCCGTCTCATGTTCCAACAGAATAGAGTCTCCGTAGTCGTCCACTGGCGCAAAGTGTAGTGTTGGGTGCAGACTCAGATCATGGATTTCCTCTATGCGTGGCGGTGCCAAGCCCCACATGGAAATCGTCCATGAGTGGTGCGACGGATCGGTTTAACGGCGACCACAGACTGCTAGCTGTGTCTTTCGAGGTTGAACGATGATAATACCCATCTCGTATTAGAACGGAAATCTGCAGGGTCCTGCGCCAGCCGCAAAGTGTGGGTTGTGGTATTTATGCCCGGCTCATGGAAATCGTCCCAGCTGATTTTCACATGATATCATCCTCGATAACGCCTCCATCTCGACTTATGCTCTTAGCATCACACCAAACCGCGTTTCTGATAATCTTGTTCTCGCAAACGCTTTCAGTGGTCTCTCTATTTGATTTTTATTCCTTTCGTTACATACAGAGTCTCGATTCGGCGTTCCATCGAGGAACTGCTGGATGCGGAGTCTGAACAATTCTCTGGGGCTGGCATCGCAGAACCCTAGCGCAATCTGCTTGATGTCAGTACAGTCACCCCCCTGCTTGGCATTCTAGCGCAGTGTAGCGAGTCCCTTGTAAAAGACCAGTAGGACGTACCAGCCCCAACACGGGTAGACTCTGATTGCGGAGCCTAACACAGGTTAGACTTCGCTAAGCGAGCCCAGGATGGTGCTATGAAGGAATACCTACAACTCTCAACCGCACCATTGAGATTCAAAGAATCGGGAATATTATGTAGCGCATAAGTCAATCGAAAAGAAGCACCCGTAGACGCGTTCGATGTGCATTTGAAGAATTTCGCACTGTACCAAGATCATCTCCGTTTCGGCGGTCGGGATGGTTGCTTCCGACGTCAACCCATCATCCCATCAAACCTAACCCCAGTTTCACGACCTGCTTTTATCATCTTATTATCTCGCCCACGATTTGCAGCCTCAGAGCGATCGTGCCGCCAAAAGAGAAAGTCAACGGAGTACAGGAAGCCGCTCTCGAAACTTCTGATCTTCCACCAATAAGAATCAGCGCAGATGCTTTACAACGATCGATCATGGGTCTCATTTCAAGCACTACAACTACAGCCTACCCCCATATCCCCCTACCATCTGCACCCCCCTCAAACCCCACTACTCATCCACCCAGTCCTTCCCACCCTCGCCCTCGCCCTCGCCCTCTTCTCCATCCTCCCAATCCGAAGCCCGCCGCGGCGAACCCAGCAGCGACACAACCGTGCGGCGGGGCGTCTTCTTCTCCTCCTTTACGAGCTCTACATTTCCTTACTTGAATCAGCATCACAATCTCCAATGCGAATGAACCAACGCCATCGCTTCCTCCAAAAAACGGCAGACTCAATGTTGAGCATCCATGCACATACGCATCACCCCGCGCGCGGGCAGGAAGCGCGAAGCCCGCGTCGCCACCACGATCACCGGGCGACCGGCGGCATCTTCGAGCTGCTTCTTCTCTTTCTTCTCCTTCTTCTTCGGCAGCTGCGGCAAGGCAGTGTTCTTCCCCGCCGCGTTCTCGCGCAGGACTGGCTTCGCGGGCTTCTCTTGTAGCGGCTTCTTCTTCGCATTCTCTTCCTTCAGCCTCGCTTTCTCTTGCTTGCGCATCACGTAGGGCGTCGTGATCTTGCTGATATCCGTCCTTTTCGGCGGACGCGCGGGCGGGCTTGGAGACGAGGAGAGCATACCTGGACGGGGTTGTCGACGGCGAGGAGCCGGCGGGCGATGCGCGCGTGGGCGGCTTTCAGCTGCTCGGCGCGCTGTTCCCCGCTCCGCTGCCGCGCCTCGGCGGTCGCCACGGCAGCCGAGAGCTGGGCGCGCAGCTCCGCCAGCCGCTTCGAGCATGCCTCCGCGCAGTCGCGCACCCCGTTGTCGATCACCTGCTCCAGCTCCAGCTCCAGCTCCGGCTCCGGCTCCATCCTGCGCAGTGCACGATATTGCTCTCCGTCCGTGTGAGCATTCGCCGCCACACGGCGGCGTTGCGATGTCTCCATATACGATAGCCCACCCACCGCAATCGCGCACGACAGCCACCGGCAACAACAAACCGCGATGCAATCACCATCCCCGCCTCGCACAGGCACCGACACAAGCAGCGACGAAATCGCCCCATTTCTACATGACAACGGCAGACAGTAGCCAGTGGGAGCCGTGGTCGCGAGGTCTTCACTTTGCGCTGCATCTGTCTGCACTGGAATGACATGTCTTGGTCTATCAAATCTATCAATCCGACTCTTCTGCTCGTCTCTCCGTCACTTCGGCTGCTCGTCCGCCTTCGGCACCGGCCTCACACGGATCGTCGTCGCAGCCCACACCGCCTCGCTGCCGATGCCAATTGCAGCTCTCGTCTCAGCCCCCAGCCACCTCACAATGGCCCTCGAGCTCATCTGCATCTCCGCCTTCCCTCCTCCTCCTCGGACCGTCTGCTCTGTTGAGTAGCCCACCCACGCTGTTCGTGGCGCCCCACTAGCCTCCCGCGCTGCCTGGTCGCACAGCCTCTGGGTCATTGAGTCCAGTCGCCTTCCCACCACGTCCTCCTCCGCTTGGTACTGCTCCAGCCCAACCTTCATCCGGCTCACCCGTCCCGTCTGCCTCTTCTGCTCGTGTTCGAAGCTCGACATCTGCGCCTTCCGTTCTGAGTCGGCCATGTCTTCATTCGTGCATGTCGGCCAGTTTCCGTTCAAGACACAGGAGAGGCCACCCGGCCTCTGCTGCTTCCAGAAGTCGTCCGCAGTCGCTGTGGTCGCATACGAGGCATTGATGAGACGCTTGAGGGCATTATCCAACTGGGGAAAGCCTTCGTGGCTTTGGTACGCTTCGTGCTGGTCGATAAGGCTGTGGCCAAGTTCGCAGATAATCTCCAAGTGCGAGCGGCTGGTCCAGTTGGCGGCTGTGGGAACTGTCAGCACTGTCCATCAACCTGGTGCCTCTCCAGTATGCGCACTCACCAAGGAGCTCGTCGACGACGTTCCGCGGCGCCCAAAGAGCCCAATCGCTCCACTCCATCTCCTGCAGTGCCGTCTGCATCAGCGCCGAGGTCTTCTTGTCAAACTCTGATCGCGCTTTCATGACATCTTGATTGTACTGCTGGACCCATTTCACCATCTTCTGCTCTTGTCTTTGCCGTCCCCCCAACCCGTCCTCATCCAATAGAAGCCCGTAGTCAAAGAGCTTGCTATTCCATTCGTCGACGTGCTCCCTGTGCTCTGACGTGCCGCTCTTGATCTCTAGCAGCACATGAGGGGCTACACAGTCGGGCGTCTGCTCATCGGGGCAGGTGATGGTGGGGACTTCGCGTGGGAGAGGGTATACGGCGGGTTGCTGCGTAGGCGCGTCGGTGTTGGCCATTGTTCGGCGGACCTTGAACCACACCGAGGCCTTCTGTTCTGGGGTCGAGTAATATACAAGCGCCCAAAGGAGCAGGACGACGACCACCACGATGAAGGCCCCCAGGAGAATTAGGTGGAAGCAGCCCTTGAGCAATTTCCGCACGCGACTGGGTGGAGCATTGGGATTGTGGATTCCAACACTAGGGATATGCAGTGGTTAGAAGAGATGCCAAGACGAAGGCGTGCCGAGAACGTACCCTGCATTTTGACGAGGCGCCCACCAATGGCGCACAAGGAAGATCGCCAAGATCACGACGACCGAAGTCATCACGAACCCTTGTTCCGATGCAGACAGGCTGGCCCACCAGGCAGACAGGCTGGCCCACCAGGCATACAAGTTCCAATCCATCTTTTTCCGATCGAGGAACCAATGACGGGACAAGGGAACGCGAACGAGGCGACGAATAAGTGCGTAGATATAAGACGTCGCCTTGCGGAGTGCGGCGCTAGAGAGTCCTGGCGGTGCTTGCTTGCTGCCTTGACCGGTCCTGCATGGCATGTTCCAAATCGGCGGCTTGATGCGCTGCCAGATCATCTATCGGGACCGGGGATGCACGGCTCTATCCACATCGCCTCGTCTTGGCGCGTTTGAATCGCATGCTCCCGCGGGATTATCGCGACTTTGCGTCTCGGCGCTTCAACAAAGAAAGCGGTGTGCACGCATCGCACCGTTTCGCACACAGAGAGACCGGTGAAGGTGGGAAGCGGCACGAATGCGCGGTTTGGGTGGCAGGTCGACCAGGGAGGGTTGAGCAGTGGGCGGTGGGCGGTGAACGGGAAGCCGCCTGGGCCCGCATCTGCCTGGTACGATGCCGTTTGGCCATGACCGGGCCGGTTCCCCTGCTTTGTTCAGCGTGCATCGGTCCGGTCAGCAGGGATTGTTCACGATATTCCTTTCGCCTCTTCTTTGTCCTATTTTAGGCCATCCCCAGCTTTGCCCTCTGGACTGCTGCACTCTGGATCTCTTCGGTCAAAGCAGTCATCTGTTCTTTGATCCTCCCCTATATATCTGTCTGGACAAGCGTCGAATCTACTTGGCGATCTTTCGCAGGCAATCATACTCGATTCTTTTCGCATCCTATTCTTTCACCATCTGAGTGATATGGCACCCACCGTCGAAGCAGCAACGGCATCGCGCCCTCGAGCAACTACTGCTCCAGCTCGATCGGCTCCTCAGCCCGCCTTTCATCACCTTCAGAGAGCTCAGCAACATGGATCTCGTGGTCACGCAACTGCAATTCTGGGACGCATTCCCAACGGTTCGTGGCCCTGTGAATACAGAACGACCACCTCCGCTGACAATGCTGTTGTAGGCTTGGCTTCGGGCAGTAACAATGGTCCCTCCGCTCAACCTCCAGAGGACCTTATAAACATCGTCGTTAACATGCGCACACTCTCGAACACGCAACGCTTCTGGATCGACAACATCCGACGACCTCGACCAACTCGATCGCAGTCAATTCCAGGGATCCCTTTCCGAGTCCGAAGGCACGTCGTACCATCTAGGGCATCGTGGTTTGCTCGCAAAGTCAACAAAGCTTCCCGATATCTGAAGTCTCGACTCCCATCCCGAGTCCCGAATCTCACAATGTCGATCCGCGAGGGTTGGAATGCCTGCATTTCCTTTGTGCGTCGCCACCAACGAACCATTGCAGCCATTGCAATGGGGTCTGTGCTGGTGCTAGCCGCAAATCACACTCTCGCCAACCACTTCGTCCATTCGCAGCCCTCCCAGCTCTCTTCGCTCTCCCAGCATCCACCAAAGATCCCGAGCCATCCAGCTCTCTCTCCATACCCCAGCTATCTCCATGCCGGGTCACCCATCACCGTCCTGGGACTCCCTCCTCCACTGACTGAGACGTTCATTCCCCCGCTCTCTGATATCAAGGATGCATGGAAGTCCTTCTCTAGGACCTACCATCCGGACCGATGGCGCATCAACGGCTTCAAGGATCCAGACGTGGCGCACCATGCTTATATGCTTGGCTATGACAGCTACACCGATCTCTGCGCGTACTGGGAAGAGCCCTCCTGCTACACAAATGTGGTGCGCATACTCACCGCATCGAACTACATTGACGACATGGTCCCGCATTTCCAGCCCAACGCCCGTTGCGACATCACAACCGTGCTGACCAACACTCTCCGCACAGCAGCCGTGCCATTCTTCCTCCAGCGCGGCCCGCCCATGACTAAGGACGACCTCGCGCTGCACAATCCGTGCACTCTTGGCACCGCGCTCGCGCGCCGCGCCTACCACAAGAAGATGGTAGCGCCGCCCCTGCCGCGCTTCTACGAGCACCCCTCGAGGCTCTTTAGCTTAGAGGTCTACCCAGGCTCGGATGAGGCTGTGCAGCTCGAGCAGCTGCCCTCTCTTCTCCACAGTTCTTGGAGCCCGAGCATGATGCTGCTGCGCTGGTGGTTCGTGAATTTCTGGGCGCCTGTGTCCCCCGACTCGGTGCCCGCCGAGCAGCGCGAGATGTGGACGCAGCAGGGTTGGGGAGCGCCAAGCGACTTCGGACTAGCGTGGAAGGGCTGCTGGTTGCGGGCGCCTGTGCCGCCACCATCAGAATGGATGCGGAAGGAGGTGGTGTACGACGAGGACGAAGACTTCGGCTTTACCGAAGAGGAGCGGAAGGAATTTGAGGATGAGTTCCAGGAATGGAAGAAGGCGCGGGACGAGGCAGCTGCCAAGGCCGCAAAGGATAAGGACGAAGAC